ATGGAGTGTCCAACCATGGACTTCACCTCTGAAATCATGAACCCAAAATAAACTTTTCCTCCTCCAAGTAGTTCTTGTCAGGTATTTTGGTCATAGGGATGAAAACCTAACTAACACAGTGTCCATAGAAAAGGTTATTTTCAAGGAAAAAAACCACAGCTTCTTAATTCTATTACCCGGTGGGTACAAATCAGAGACATAAAAGAGATCCACACTTAAAATAGTGGCCATACCATTTCAGGAGAGCCCTTCCTAGAAAATCTCTGGCAAAGGATCTTGACTGTTGGCAATTGCAGAGGGACTCCATGCCTCAGGAAGAGGTGGCTCAGCTGAGACTGAAGGAGAAACCCTGAAGAGATTGGGTCCAGGATCGTCAGCTCTTTCTGAATTTTGTCTAACAATCTGGAGCTCAGAGGGTGTGACTTGAGTTCCTTTCTGACCAGGGCAAGAAGAAAAGAATCTTCTTTTGTTGTTCCACTGGGCCTCTGGATGGTATCCTAACGCAACGATGAGAAAAAGAATGAACATGACTTTAATACAGACAAGGATGCAAAAGTGCACAGGGGCTGGAATCAGAGGGTCACTCCTGAGGGCGAGTATCCAAGCTGTGTTGTCATGAGTGTACCATGCCTCAGGTCTATTCCTTCAGAAGAAAAAAAGAAGCATCTTCTTCGAGTACACATGGCTCTTTAACATCCACCATCTGTCTTTTACAAAATAAGATTCTTCTTTAATTGCGTAAGAATTAGGATAACCTATCTTATAGACTCATTGGATGGGGAAGTTTAGGGCCGGAGTTTAGACCAAGGATGAAGCCCAGATCCTGACTCAGTTAATTGGGAGCACAATGGTCCTTCAATCCTGGAAATCTCTGGAAGGAAGATAGGTCAGGGACAGGAAGATGATGAATTCAGTTAGATCTGTAGGGTTTGCCTGTAAACTCATCAAGGAAGTTTCCCAGAAAGCCGTCTGGACATATGGAGTTTAGTATCCATCAGTCCATCCTCAGACTGTCTTATCATCTGCTCCACATTAAGTATACAGACAAGGGGCTGGGCACGGCTCAGTGGTAGAGCACTTATCTAGCATGTGTGAGGCCCTGGGTTCGATCCTCAGCACCACATAAAAATAAATACATAAAAATAAAGATATCGTGTCCATCTACAACTAAAAAAAGGTTTTTTTTTAAAGATATACAGACAACAAATAATACCTGTTCATTCACAGTAGGAAACAACTCGACAACTCTGAGTACATACCTCAGGTTGGCTGGAGCCACCCCTCACCAACTGCTCCAAGGACCGGTCTCTAAGATTTCTCCTGGGGAGGCCATGCATGTAGGATAGGGACTGGTCTCCAGATGGTACAGAGCTGCAGTGGGCCTGATGGGGAACCTTAAAGAAGAAAGACAAATGGAAGCAAGGAAAAGACAGGTGGGGGAGAGAGGAAAGAAGGGAGAATGTAAGACAAACAGCTCCTTTAAATACAATCCTGATTCTAAATAAATTAAATCCCCAATGAAGAAAGCTTGCAATGACACACATTTCAGCAAACGGCAATTAACACATGTTTGACAAATATGTTAACAATTAGATACTGTCTCATTTGTACAAGAAAAGTGTTTGTGGCAGACCTAAAAAAAAAAAAAGGTAAAACATAAAGTGTTTGTAGGCAAATGTGGGGTTTTTATTGATAAGAGCATCCTTAGGCTGTTTAAATTAGCAGGTTCAGGAAGAGCTGCAATGGAAATTGTGAGCTTTGTCAAGAATGGAAGAGATTAAAAAGCCTAGAATATTACAGCCCGTGAGCCATGTTATTAAAGGTCACCATAGAATAACAATCAAACTAGGGTCGAGAATAAAGTCCCATTCCATCTTGCCATAGAGCATAGTGTATGAACCATTAAAAAAAATCGTCTGCATTTTATGATGGTTTGACATCTTTTTTTTTAAAAATATTTATTTCTTAGTTTTAGGTGGACACAATATCTTGATTTTATTTTTATGTGGTGCTGAGAATCAAACCCAGTGCCTCACGCATGCTGGGCGAGTGCACTACCACTTGAGCCACATCCCCAGCCCCATGGTTTGACATCTTAGGATAAGGAACTCTGCCACTTAGGGAAGACTGCTCCGTGATTCCTAGAGATGGTAAACGACTCTCTTGCAAACATATCTTTCACTCATACAAACCAACCAATTCTGAGTTCAAACCTCCAAATGCTCCCTTTATCTAACTTTCACATACTAAGACATTATTGATTCTGCCCCAAATCAACCCAGGACCAGGTTCTGACAAGTAGAAATGAACTTTATGTCCCAAAGCCTGAGGGAATTATTCTGACTGGCCAGTACAAAGCTGTTCCCCTGCTCTGCCTTGCTTTTCCTACAGAAACCTCACCAAATTCTGTGTCTTTTCCTATATTGTCCTTTCACCTTCCCACTCTGTGCTTCCCCATGTGACCCTCTGTGCTTCCCCATGTGACCCTCATGGGGTGGTATGACCCCTTCTCTTGGGCAATGTAAGTGATTAACTCTTCTTTCAACGGCAGTTGTCTTCATGTCTTTAAGTTTATTAGATCTGTTTAAAACAAAATCCTGAGTAAAAATTGAGACACATGGTTATTTTTAGTATCAGGCCATTGAAAGGTGACAAGATTTGAAGAACTGAAAACAATTATCTGTACACAGTTGATTAGTCATGCTGAACAACCTTTCAAGATGAATAGCAAGGGCTTAGTAGTCATGAAGTATTTTAAAGAAAAACCAAGAGTGGTCTCCGATGACCGAGGGTCCTAGAGGACACGTAAAAATAACAAGCTATTTATTTGACCTATACTCTGTATAAGGCATGATGTAGGGGCTTCACTAATGCCATTTAATTTAATATGAGGTAGGTATTTTAAATCCTCTTTACATTAGGAAAGCTGAGGTTTGCAGAAGTTAAATAATTTTATTCCTTCATTTAAGAAATATCTACGACTTGCCTAGTCTGGTCAAGGCACTGTGGAAGGCCTGAGTGGAGAAAACCAGACTTACCCTGCTTGACAGAGAGGAAGGCACAGCAAGCATATGGGGTGGTAGGCCACTGTTGCAATGGTCCAAATGCCCGCCTCACCTTCCAGAGGGACTGACACCTAAGTCCAGGCTTGAAAAGAAAGTTACATCTAAATAAACTAAGGAATGGAGAGAGAAAGGGAGAAGAACGAAGGTGACAGAAAAAGGGAAAGGGAATTGGATATAGAAAATTTCAAAGGTACACTCATACATGCAAGAGAGAGAGAGAGAGAGAGAGAGAGAGATGGATGCTTCCAGAGCATAAGCTTTTGGGAAAGGCAAAAGATAAGGCTGAGAGGGAGGCAGGAAAGAGGCAGTCAATCAGCCTCTATGCTTTATTCTGAGGGCAATGGGGGAAACCATGGAAAAGGTTTTAGTAGAGCAATGACTAGGTAAGTGTGCCCAACATTCCCTCCCAATAAATTTTGCAGACAAGATCTGCATCTTGTTATTTTACTACTGCCCTAGAATAAGAGAAATTTAATATTTTGTTCACAGAGAAATTTCACTCTCTTGAAATATTTAGTTAGGTCTTTCAGACATATTGTTCTGGGTGCAGTATTTTTCTTTGCAAATTATTTGCAACATAAAATATTCCTATTTTTTTGTATTTATATACATACAGTAAACCCTTATATATCTACTAGTTCCCCATTCTCAGATTCAATGAATGTCATAGGGAAGATAGTTGCCTCTATACTGAATATGTGCAAACCTTTTTTCTTGTCATTTTCTAAATGATACAATAGAACAATAGTTTACATAGCATTGACATGTTATTAGACATTTCAAGTAATCTAGAGATGATTTAAAGTATATGAGAGGATATAAGGATGTACCATGCCATTTTATATAAAAGACTTGAGCATCTTTAGATTTTGGTATCCTTAGGGGTCCTGGAACCAATACCTGGCAGATATAGACAGATATCTATATTTCATAGTTCCAACAGAGTCAAGGTGCCTGTTAGCCTTCTTTAACTTTCATTTAAACACCAGAAGTGAGAGCACCTTTATCCTTGGCACTCTAGAAACAGGTGAACAAGGCACCCATGGTTCCTGCCCTTATAGGTGTTTTGGCCTAGATATCACAAACTAAATGTTATATTCTCACCTACAGAAAAAGGAACATGCATTTCACTCTCACAGGTACTGTGAAGAATGAGTGTTGTGTACTTTAAATATTTTGTAAATTCCCAGACTATATTCGATTCTATTTTTGAAGTGTATTTCCCTCCAGTAATATGATCTCCACATGGGCCAACACTTTGTCTTGTATCCTGCTGAACTCCAGCATCAAAACCAGTGCTGAGTCTGTTGAATGAATAGAGAGACAGTGTCATGAAACAGTGACAAGCCATTGGTGCTACTAGTGCCTGGTTGCACCATCAGATTTCTCTCTTTACTAATATAAATCGCCCTGGACTGAACTGCTGTTTTTTAAAAAATAAGAGTGTCCCTAAAGTGTCAAAGAGGGAGAAATGTGAAATTCTGATCAAGATTCATCTGACCTTGGGAGCTGCCAGAACGCCTACAAATTTCTGATATACGGGCTTCTTTCATTTGGTTTACTTGAATCACAAAATACTGCTTGGGGGATGACAAAATAGCCTTAAGTAACTTTGATTAATAATAGTATTGTGATACTTGCTTAAAATAATTGGTACAAACAAAGCATAAAAATTAACACACATTTACTAACTCTCCTTGGCGGTGTTGAAACTTGCAAATGTTGGAAGTGTAAACAAATCTTTTAAATATTGCTCCTAGTAGAACAATTTTTAAGTGGTTACATTATGGAAGTTATGAATCCTGATACTTTAAGACAAGAGAGCACAACTACTAATTGTCTTAATATTGTGAGATGTATGCTGTGGCTTGAGAGGAAATTCCAGAAAAAGCATCAAATGCAGACTTGAAGTTTCGTTTCTTAAACAACTTAGACCAAGCCCCTGATGTGTTCTAGAAAGCTGTCAAATGGCTCAAAAAAGGACATTGTTGATAATGAAGACAACTGTGAGAAAGAAGCCGGTGAAAAGTTTGGTACATAGTTTTTAGAGAAATGTAGAATTAAAAAAAATTCCCAAAGATACTATACATGATATGTAATTTAAATATATGCTTCAAACAATTCACTGAATATTCATGCTTATCATTTAAATATTTTATACAACTTTACATTTTACATTTTTTAAAAATATTTTTTTTGGGTTGTCAATGGACCTTTATTTTATTTGTTTATATGAGGTGCTGAGAATCAAACCCAGTGTCTCACAAATGCCAGGCAAGAGCTCTACCACTGAGCCACAACCCTGGCCCTGTATTTTACATTTTAACCTTTTGGTTGAGGAACTTTCAAACACATAGCAAGAATAATCTAATGAAACTTCATAATGTAACCACCATGATCCAATTATCAACTGACAACATTATTTTATTTGCACCCACATTACTCTCTGCTCTCCAGGGATGAAGTGAGCCCAAGTCTGTTGGTTTATCCACACAATTTCAGCATGTTATCTATAAACCTGTGATTCTCAAAGTGTGGCCCTTGGTCCAGAAGCCTTGGGTCTCATTTGGGAACTTATGAGACATAAGAACCATCCAGACACACTGAATAAAATTTCTCAGGGTGAGGCCCCAAAATTTGTTTCGATAAGGCTTCATTGATTCTGATGCATGAAAGGTAGGACTTCTTTTAAAATGCAACCACAATAACCATATCACAATTTTAAAAACTCACTATTAATAGTAATTGCTCATATCATTAAATATAGTGTCTAAATCCCAATTGTATGATAAATCTTATTATTATAGTTTGTTTATTCAAAACAAGGAACAAATACGGTCTGTATATTGCAATTGGCTGATATCTCTGACATCTTTTTAAATTTCTATTTTTTCTCCCTCTTTTTCCTTTTGCCACTTTTCTTCTTGCAATTTATTTGTTGAAAAGCTGTATTTTTTGCCCTATAGAGTTTTACATAGTCTGTATTTCATTGCTTACATTCCTGTACAGTTTAACAACTTTTACCATATATACCATAAATGGTAGTTAGATCTAGAGTCTAGATCGTATGAAAATTCAATTTGTTTGGAAAGCTTTTTTCATAAATGCTGTATTTTTCCCGTAGAAGCAACTGATGTCTGGTTATCTTTTTGGTCACATTGCTTAAGTCCCCCCTTTTTTGGGAGGGCAGGATTTTGCAGAATTAAATTCTTATGCTACCATTTATTAATATATTAATTGGAATGCTTCACTAAAGAGAAACTTCCACTCGTTTGCTATTAACATACAGTTTGCACAGGAAATACAGATTGAGTAAATACTTAATTCTC